CAATATACAGTGGAATACTACTCAGCCTTAAAAGGGAAGGAAATTTCTGACAAGTGCTCTGACCCAAATAAATCTTAAAAACAGTATGCTAAATCACAAACTGTGATTTCCACTTGTATGAAGTACATAGAATAGTCAAGTAAATATGGACAGTACATTTGTTTTGGTGGTGGCTCACAGGGGCTGGGATGTGGGGATGGGAAAGAAGGAATTGTTGTTCAGTGAATACAGAGTCACAGTTAGAGAAGATGAAAACATTCTGGAAATAGATGATGGTGCTGCTGTACCACAATGAGAGTGTACTTAATGCCATAGACCCATATACTTAAAGTGGTCATTTTTACATTAGGTACATTTTAACAACAATGAAGACAGAGCTTTTATATAAGGGCAACTGAATTAAATCACTACACAATAAATGGAGAGTCGGGGGAGACGAAGAGGAAGATCACTTCATCACTGCCCATGCTCCTCACACAATCTCTACTGTCACCATGGGGGCTGTGAGTCTTAGCACCGGCCAGCATCGAAGGAAGTTCCTACTCCCTACTCATCCTTCTCTGACTGCATCCCTGTAAGGGATGGGGCAGGATCACAAGTGGAGATCGAGGATTTCCACTCCCTTTTGGGAGTCTTATTCTCTGTGGTATTTAGCTAGAGAGTAGAGAGTGATTATTATTTTTAAATGCTCTGACTCACTAGGATGACTCTTCCTGGTCCTCTGGCTAGAGAGCACAAGCTTTTTTTTTTCCCCTCTGAGACTGTGTTTCCGAATCTACTGTTTTTAGAGATTGCCTGGCATCTTCAGCATCAAGTCTAGGACATATGAACCTAAAAGAAAACCCAGGAAAAACAAAAAAAAGAAAACCCAGGAAACTGTACCATTTGAGGAATTCTCATGTTCCTAATTTGTTGGCTGCCTTCTTTTCTCTTCCTCCTAATATCTAGAAAATTCTCTCTGAACTAAAAAACAAACAAAAAAAATAACTGCACTTAGAACACATTCATTGTCCATCTGTTGAGGAAGACAGGTTCTGTATCATGTGAGTGAATAAGTTCAAACATTCACCAGTCCCCAAACAAAATTTAGATCCACCTTTGGGGAGGCCTTCCCTGTTCTACCGATACCTGGGAGACTCATTGTCCAGGGTCAGAGTCTGCCATTGGAGTACTACTTTCTTAACTTCGAAAATCTCTTCACAGAGCACCAAATTCACCAAAATGGAGGTTGGAGCCAAGTAAACTTCAATATTTAATCCCTAGAGATTGAAAATCCAGGCCTTATAATGGAGTCAGAAAGGATTTTAATGACAGAGAAGAGTGAAAATTATAACCCAATCAGGCACCAGTGGCTCATTCCTATAATCCTAGCTACTTAGAAGGTTGAGATCTGAGGATTGCAATTCAAAGCCCAGCCTAGGCACTGAGACTCTTAACTCCAACTAACCACCAAAAAACTGAAGTGGCACTGTGGCTCAAGTGGTAGAGTGCTAGCTTTGAGAAGAGCTCAGGGACAGTGTCCAAGCCCCACAACCAATATCAGCAGCAAATTGTAACAATAACCCAATTTTCAATACCACACTACATTACTTCCTATAATCTTGACATCTACATTTTCCATTAGTCTTACTAAAACTACGAGAAGGAGTCTTTGGGTGGGAAGGGGCAGTCATGGGGCTTGGACTCAGGACCAGGGTGTTATCCCTGAACTTCTTTTTGCTCAAGGCTAGCATTCTACCACTTGAGCTCCACTTCCAGCTTTTTATGTAGTTTCATGGAAGATAAGAGTCTCACAGAGTTTCTTGTCTGAACTGGCTTTGAACTTCGATCCTTATCACTGATACCCGGCTAGGAGTCTTTTATTCTGCCTGAGTTGACTTTCTTTTTTATGGATTTAGATTGGTAAGCTGAAATACTACATTAAGATGGGGGAATAGTCCAATGATAGAGCACATGCTTTTTATGTACAATATCCTGGATTTGATCCCAGAACCTAAAACAGAAAGAAATACTTCACTGGGGCTTTTCCCATACAGATATTTGGTTTATTTTAGCACTAAAAGGTGGTTTCTCAGGCAGCTACTATTTGCAATAAATGGTTTGTTCCCATTTTCTTTCCCTAGTTGTAGAAAGATGGCATGAATAACAGTTTAGATCTTTGAACTTGATCTTGGGTTACCTCTACTCTTGGGAATGCTGTTTAGCTACTGCCTATTTCAAAGCAACCTCAACCTCCTTGGACAATATTAACCTAACATCTATTTTTAGAGACTGAATCAGAACCTTCGTACACCTTTGTTTGCATGGTATCCTGATCATCCTTTGTCCTAAGGAAAGATAGGAATTACTATTAGTGCAAGGGGACATTGGAACATTGAATATTTGGAATATCATTGAAAATATGAGTTTTAATAAGTAAATGGCTATTTGGGCTCTGATGGCTCATGCCTGTAACCCTAGCTACTCAGGAGGCTGAGATATGAAGATTACAGTTTGAAGCCAGCCTGGAGAGGAAAGCCTGTCAGACTCTTATCTCCATGAAACTACCCAGATGTGGAGCTATGGCCCAAGTGGTACAGCCCTAGTCTTGAGCAAAATGAAGCTCAGACACAGAGCCCAATATATATATATATATATGCTGAAGGCTAAATCTCTATATATGCACTTTAGGCCAATGTCTAGACCTAGAATACAGCTAGAGAACACGTCTATGATAGTTATCACCTACCATCCACATATATTACATCCTAAGATGATGCTCCCAGCCTAGACACAATTGCAATTCACTCTTTGAAAATCTTTCCACGTCAGTGTCAGTGAGCTGGGTTTGGCAGGGTGCAGGGCTCCCTGTGTAGGGCATGAAGTAAAAAAGTAGGCCACTTGCAATATTGTTGGAGTCCAAGGAAATATGTCTTTTCTAGTCAAAGGGCCTGAGGGCCTGAAAGGGGGTTGTTTCACATTTAATTGAAATTGAATCGGCTCCCTGAAGCTCTACCGTTCCTCTGCTTGTAGGCATGATAGACCTGTTAAATACCACGTGCCATCAAGGGAAATTAAACTTTACCTTCATGACCCTTCCAATTTTTGAAATCTCCAGACTGAAGATGTAGAATCAATACAGGTGGGTGTGATTAAAAAAAAGTTCTCAGAGAATTGTAAGATTTAACATTTGAGAAATCCAGCTTAGGCTAATTTCATTTTTCCTACCCACCTAGTACACACATACACACATACACATACACAAAACATACACACACAGACATTTATGATATATATATACATATATGTGTGTATATATACACAGAGAGAAAAACTGACATATGTACATATATGGGTATATGTACATAATAGTTTTTTCCCCCTTTTTACAATTCCTACTTCTTTAGTATACAGGGTTCTAACAGCTTCCCGCTCTGGATGGTTCTTTTTTTGGGGGGGCCGGTTGTGGGGCCTGAACTCTGGGCCTGGGCGCTGTCCCTCAGCTCTTCAGCTCAAGGCTAGAGCTCTACCACTTGAGCCACAGTGCCACTTCTGGCTTTTTTTCTTTTTGCTTATGTGGTGCTGAGGAATTGAACCCAGGGCCTCATGCATGCAAGGCAAGCACTCTACCACTGAGCCACCTTCCCAGCCCTGGTTCATTGTTTTCAGCCTATGACTTTAGTCCTGTCCATCCCTCTCCAGGCAGTAATATAGATAGATAGATAGATAGATAGAACATTATATATAACGCAAGCACTCTACCATGTGAACTTTACCTTTTTTGGTTTGTTTCATTATTTAGTTATTTTTTTATTTAGTATGTCTGGTTTGGGCCTCATCAATGCTAGCATCAGATCATAACTCCCCACTAGGGCCTCCTAGGGTCAGAAGTCTGTGCTCCACCCCAGGCTTATTGGTTGAGATCGGTGTCTTGCTAACTTTTTTCCCAGGCTGACCTCAAACCTTGATCCTCCCAATCTCCACCTCCCAAGTAGCTAGGATTATAGGTGTGTTCCACTGCACCTGGTCTCATAGGTGGTAATTCATTGAACTTCTGTCTTCTTTCCTTTTCATTCTTTCTTTCCTTCATTTTTCCCTTCCTCCTCTCTTTCTTATCTCTTTTCTTTCTGCTGCTGTTTTTCTTTCTCTCCTTTCTGTCTTTCTTGGTGCTGGGGATTGAACTCAGAGCTTTGTTCTTATTGAGATCTACCCTCAGCCTTATGTTCCTTCTTTTAACAATTATTAAGTTGGATTGTAGTTCCATCCTGATGCTAGGGTTCTCCTCCCAAATTTATTCTTTCACTTTAGCGTCTGTTAAAGACCTCAGAGCATTCTATTGTCGTTTGGGGCTAAAGCTGCAAGAAAGCCAGAGGATGTTCATATTGCTTCTTCTTCCTTGCAAGTATCTAACTGGAATATGTCAGGGGCAGAGATCACTTAAATGGAGAAGAATTTGCATTGTCCTAGATCCCTAGACCAAACATAATGTCTTTTCAAACCATCGTAATCCCATCATAATTTCTAACAAGTTCCCATTTGTCTATCAGGTGGTGAGCATGCATTTCCGTAGAGTAGCATCAGGGCATTGATGGCATGGTGTCACAATTTTAGCAACTGCAGAATGAACCGTGCCTCTGGAGGATCAAAAGAGATTTCTCTTTGAGAGAGACGGAGCAAGCGATTTAAATCGCAGCAGGCCCAGAACTACGCACTCTCTGCAGAGTCAAATGGAGGGGAAAGCTTACTTACAGGACGAAAGTATCTAACTTTTAAGAAATGCTTCAGATCAACCAATACACACACACACACACACACACACACACACACACACACAACTCTGCAAAGGAGAAGCGCATTTATTTTCTCAGCACTCACGGAATTGGGATGTGGGACAATCCTGATTGACACAGAGCTTTCCTACTTCCTTTTTCTATTTCAATAAAATCCCTGCTGAACCACAGTGTCCCATTCCAGCTTCCTGATCTATGCAGACACAGCTGCTCTAAGGACCTGAGCTATATCTCAGCTGCATCTGACTATTGCTGGGAGCCCTTCTTGTGTCCATCCTCATGATGCTGTGGTCACTTCTTCTGGTCTTTGGTGAGTAGGATGCTGGAGAAGGCTGAGGCAGAGCCAGTCCAGGGCTGCCCAAGAAGCATCTTGAGTGCAGTTTGTCTTCTGGGACCCGATGAGAAGGGGTAGGGTGCTGCTTCTAATTCAATATTAGCAGGTATCATGCAGGTAGGTAGTGAGCAGAGCAAGGTTGCTAGGAAAAGCAAAAGACTCTATATCTCTTTGCCAAAGACTGATGCATTATGAATATTTAATATCATTTCAGCTTTGATCTCTAGGGTCATTGGAAAACTTAGAAAGGCCATCCAAGGAATTTTCTGTGAGAGTGAGTTCTTCATTGCTCAAGCCTTCCTTCTACATCAAGCCATCGTTTCTTTGGCTGAACTCTTACCATACAACTTAGATTTTGGATAGGCTTCCAGTCTTGCTACATGAAATCGTCGTAGCTTTTGCCCATAAATCTGAGTCTTATTGTGGACCCAAACACAGCAGTAATTCTAGAATCAGGGAAGAGGGAAAAAAGCATTGGTCGAGTATGAGAAGCACCTGGTTTTCTCTCAGAATCCTTCCTGGCATCTATGTTGCTCACAGCTAGTCCATGGGCCTCAGAGAAAATAGCCAGGGTACTTTTAAAAGAAGATAGGAGAGGGACTGGGAAGGTGGCTCAGTGGTAGAGCGCTTGCCTTGCATGTATGAGGCCCTGGGTTCGATTCCTCAGCACCACATAACCAGGAAAAAAAAGCCAGAAGTGGCGCTATGGCTCAAGTGGTAGAGTGCTAACCTTGAGCTGAAGAGCTAAGGGACAGCACCCAGGCCCATAGTTCAGGCCCCACGGCCAGACCCAAAAAAAAAAAAAAAAAGATAGGAGAGAAGATAATGAGTAATGAAACTTCTGAGAATTTACCTGCAAAATGGCTGACTTCTGGTAATGGAAAATGATTGTGTTTATAAACTGTTAGGAGTTATTAAATGAATACTGGTTTCCATAGGAGTGAAGTTTGGGAGAGAAAAAAGAAGAGAGGAATGGAAGGAGGAAATAGAGGGAGAGAGAGAGAGAGAGCAGATATAAGAGATGTAGAGGAGGCCAGATGTTGGTGGCTCACATCTGTAATCCTAGCTACTCGGGAGGTTAAGATCTGAGGGTCCTATTTTGACCAAAAAGTCCATGAAACTCTTATCTCCAGTTAATCAGTGAAAAGCTGGAAGTGGAGGTATGGCTTAAGTGGTAAAGCACCAGCCTTGAATGAAAAAGCCAAGTAAGAGTGCAAGCACTGAGTACAAGCCCAGTCCCAGTACCAGCAGAAAGAGTGATAGACAGACACAGACAGACAGACAGACAGACAACGGCGGTGAGGAAGAGACAGAAGGAAAGCCAGGAAGGAATTACTGCAGAGTTCTAGAGGTAACCGCTTTTTAGAACACATAAGGTTGCTGATCCTGTGGTAATATCTCTGATTCTGTTCCCTCACAGCTCCGGCAACTGTCCAGTCTTGTGAGTAACTCTTTGTGCTTTTATGTTTCTGGGAATCATCCTCACTTTATGAGGCATGGGAGGTGTGGCTTGCCCTGCCTCTTAGCTGAGGGCTGCAGGGATCTGGGCAAAGACAGGTGAAAACAAGCCAAGAACCAGTGCTGATCTCTGCGTAGCCTTGGCTCTGCACCTGGGGTGGGGGGAGGGGCCTCTCTGCCACATTAACATCTGCTTTGCCATCTCCCTGTCTAATGAGTAAGAAGAGCACAACCTGACCCTCTCAAAGCAATGAATTCTTCCCCCTTAACTGTTGAGCCTGAGATGGGAAAGAAGATAACTGTGAAGGGAAAGCAGACCAGGAAGTGTCTAACAGGGAAAGCAGTCTCTTTCAGGGCACTGGAGCTCACCAGCCCCTTCAGCAGCATTGGGGGAAGTGATGGAAAACATTGCTAATAAAGCAGCAGCAAGAGGCTGGGAAGATGCTCTGCAGAAAACAAGAATTCCTTTGCATCTCTTATTTGGATTGTAAACAATTGAATACCCAATTTACCTTTCCTTTTTATTAGAATTCTAATAGAATGAAATGTGATAGAGAAGAAAGCTTGGTTTTGTAGTAGCCTGGAAAGTTACATTTTCTTTGTGTTCATGCCTTTGAGAACAAATTCATTGTCTAAGGGGAAGGCTTGTATACCTAGCCTTGTAACTTTAAGCAGGAAGGCTAGGGTAAGGGGTCTCTGGAGTAGCCTAAAGATAACCAGTGAGCTCCAGGAAGTGATAGTAAATAAGTGCTTTGCATAATTGTCCCTACTTCTAGAGTCTGTAAGTAAAATGTCAAAAGTTAAAATGAAATACTTTAATATTCTAAAATATTTAAATGTCCTAAAAATTAAATATTTGCCAGATGTCAGTGGATTGTATTAATAGTCCTAGTTAAGATCTGAGGATCATGATGTGAAGCAACCCAGGCAAAAAATCTCTATAAGACTCTCATCTCCAGTTAACCCAACAAAAAGCCAGAAATTGAGTGATAGTTCAAGCCATAAAGAACCAGCTTTGAGTGAAAAAGCCAAGTAAGAGCAGAAGGTCCTAAGTTCAAGCCCCAATATTGGTACAAAAACAAAAACAAACACCAAAAATGTTTAAGACTACTAACTCAGGTATCTCACAGTTAAGTCTTTATCCCAGACTAAATAAAACCTAGTGTCGGAATAAAACTCAGTGTCAGAAATTTTTCCCTATCTCCTAGCTATCTCCTTGTCATTATTATTGACTTGTTCACATAGATTTTACTTCTCAAATATTTCTTTGTTCAAATTTAATTGTATCTCTGTAATGATCACTGAAAACTTTGCCCTATCTCAGAAAAAGAAACTATTTGGCCTCCAAAGTGTCTATCAATCTTTGTGCTTCCTGAATTTTACCTCCTGAATTTTACCTCTAGTCTAATGGTGTCCTTTAAACTGATTAAAAGGAGGAAAAAAAGGAATGTTGAAGTTATATTTGAACCCAAATGTTTGCTTTGCACTATCAAAAAATTCATCCCATGTTTCTATTGAATTACTAGCTTTGGTTTTTTTTCTTTTTGAGCGGGGGTCTGGTTGTGGGCCAGAACTCTGGGCCTGGGCGCTGCCCCTCAGCTCTTCAGCTCAAGGCTAGCACTCTACCATTTGAACCACAGTGCCGCTTCCAGCTTTTTTTCTGCTTATATGGTGCTGAGGAATCGAACCCAGGGCCTCATGCATGCAAGGCAAACGCTCTACCACTGAGCCACCTTCCCAGCCCTCATCCCATGTTTCTAGAATCTCATATGCATATAGGTTATATAAAATAGGTATAGATTTATTTTAAGATCCTATATTAAAATATGGACATGGGGGCTGGGAAGGTGGCTCAGTGGTAGATTCCTCGGTTTGATTCCTCAGCACCACATAAACAGAAAAAGCCGGAAGGGGGGCTGAGGCTCAAATGGTAAAGTGCTAGTCTACAGCTAAAGAGCTGAGGGACAGTGCCCAGAGTTCAGGCCCCATGACAGACCCCCCTCCCCCCCCAAAAAAAAACATGAACATGGTAAAATAGATGCAAAAATAAAAAAGTTCCTAGATGAGATGCATCATATACTATGGATGCTCTAAGTGCTTTACCCTGCCTCCATATCTGCTGGCTCTGGGGACTGTAGATCTAGATCTCATGGTGAAAGGACCACCTCTCTTTTGAGACAGGACTCTGCTAGGGAGTAAATCCAAAACAGCAAGCTGCTCATTAGCTTTCTGATGATCCTTATCTTCCTTAGGGAAGGGAAGGTCCCTCTCGCGGGGATCATCCATTCCCATGCACAGAAACTTTTGTAGACATTTCTAAAAGAGACATCAAATAGAGACCTTTAGAGACTGAAGATATACATCCCAGGGCTGATGTCTTGATGGCCCAGTTTCCTTCATAGGAAAGTCATTTGCATTAATTATACCACCACATGGAGTTTCTAAAGAATGAGACCGACTGAGAAAGTTAATCATGGTCCCTATGTGGGCATGAGGCCTCCTTGAATAGATGTAAGAAGAAGTAGAGAGGTTTATTTATTTATTTATTTATTTGGTATTAGTTCTTGTGCTTGAACTTAGGGCCTTGGCACTGTCCCTTAGGTTTTTTTGTTTAAGATTTGTACTCTACCACTTGAGCCATTTCCACTTCTGGCTGTTGGATGGTTAATTGAAGATAATAGTCTCAGGACTTTTCTACCTGGGCGGGTTTTGAATTATGATTCGTTTTGTTGTTGGTGGTAGTGGTTGTGATGCTTGAACTAGTGACTGGGCACTGAGCTTATCTGTTCAAGGCTAGCACTCTACCACTTTGAGCCACAGCACCACTTCCAGTTTTCTGGTAGTTACTTGGAGATAAGAATCTCATAGACTTTTCTTGTTCAAGCTGGCTTCGAACCTTAATCCTCAGATCTCAGCCCTCCTGAGTGGCTAGGATTACAGGTATGAGCCACCAGCTCCTGGCTTTGAACTGGGATTCTAGCCCTAACCTGGGAGGGATCATTGTAAATCTATTTGTTGGCAGCTGAAAAAAAATGGCATCAAAATCTATTAATAGACATACAGGTGACAGGATGTGCAGAGAACAAGAATGCCACTCACTGAAATAGAGCTCACCTTGGTTGAGTGGGAAAGCTCACTGAGCCCATTGATGCCAAGGCAGTGGGTGCCCTGCTTCTGGATTCATGCAGAGAGCCCAATCCCTTTCCTCGGTGATCAGAATCACAGAAGTGCTGGGGCAGCGGGGAAGCATGGTCACCACAGATATCTCGTTTCTTTTGCAGACTGGCTGAGCATCTACATGCCACGTGATGTTTATGAAGGAGACCAGGTGGTAATAAGATGCTCTGGGAATAATAATGGTCAAATAAGAAGACTAAAGTTCTACAAGGATGGAGCTCAGATCGTCACCTACAGTAGTGCCTCAAGCTATACCATTTCCAATGCAAAGCGCAGTGACAGCGGCTCCTATTACTGTAAAGCAGACAGAGAACTTTTCCTATTTGTAGAAGCGACAGAAGAAACAAACTCTGTGTGGCTCAGTGTCCGAGGTGAGGGCCCTTCTCTTCAAGTGTCCGAGTCTGGAAAGAGGAAAAGCCTGTGTGGGAGAAACGGGACAGGGTAGTGAAGACCATTCAGGGAGGGAGATGAGCTGTGTATCCTTGAGTCTGGGTCTGTGTGCCTTGCTCACAAAGGACACTACTTGTAGGCCACTACTCCACATTCCATCACTAACAGGGGTCTCTGTTCCCTTCTGCCCTCCAGAGCTGTTTCCTGCACCTATGCTGACAGCCAGCTCCACCCAGCCCACCGAGGGGAGCTCAGTGACCCTGACCTGTAGCACCCGGCTCCCTTCAGATAGATCAACCACCCAGTTGTACTTCTCTTTCCTCCGAAGCGGCCACACCCTGCAGTCAGGCTGGAGATCAGCATTTAACATCTCAGCAATTTGGAAAGAAGATTCGGACTACTACCAATGCAAGGCAAAGACAGCATCTCACAGTGTTTCCAAGAGCAGTGCACAGTCCTATCTCGACGTGCAGAGTGAGTGAGTCCCAATGGGCTGGGCAGCCAGGGAGAGCCGGGACACCAGCCACGTGATAGGCTCTTTTCAGCTACGTAGCCTGATCCCTGTGAGTGTGGGGACTACCAAGGCTCACCAGGGCTCTTCTCTAATAGTTTCTGTGGGGGGCATTATTTCCTAATAACTTTGCTCTCTCTGGCAGAAAAGTAATCATATCAACCTCCTTTACCATACGGTCGGCACTGAGGTATGTTCTTTCACAGCAAGAAGTGAATAAATCACTTTCTCTGTCTGCAAGGGGTGACCACCAGCTACAAGGCACAATATAGAGCAATGAAAGCATAAGGAATAATAATAGAAAACTACAAGACCAATCCCTGGTGCTTATAATGGATCGCCATAGGCCAGGCCTGAACTCACGCTGAGGTGTTTTGTTCTAGAACCCTGTGCCGTTCGTATATAACTGAAGAAGGAAGGAAGGACAATTTACCACGTCTAAGGTGCAGTTCAGAGCAGTTTAACATTTCATCTCCCTGTAGCATACTTTTCAGTGTACTAGTATAGTACAGAAGGTACTATAAGTATACCTACTCTACAGATAAAAATATGGAAAGCATAATTAAGAGTCTTGGAACCAGGTGTGGTGGCTGGTGCCTGCAATCCCAGCTATGTGAGAGGTCCTCACCTTAACCAATAAGCCAGACAGTTATGTGGGAGGGCAGAGGTAGGAGGATCTTGGTCAGAGGACAGTCCAGGCAAAGAAGCAAGACCTTGCCCAAAAAAATAAAGTATAAGAGGGGTGGAGGCATGGCTCAAGTGGTAGAGTGCCTGTCTAGCAAGGTTAAGGCTAACAATACAAGCCTCAGTAGCACACACACACACAAAGACAGACAGAGATACACAGAGATCAAGAGATAGAAACTTGTCTCAGGTAATCTAGTACACAGGACTGGAATTTGATTCTGATCTCTGGCTTGTATACTCTTCAAACCTCCTTGCTCATTAATGTGGAGGGTAGGGCAGGGTCATTATTGATCATCAAACTATAGAGTTGGTCCTAGGTAATGTCTCTAAGAATGTTCTCTTCCCTCCAAAACACTTGGGCCAGTGGGATGGACTTCAAACATTCAATTCCAGACAACCCACCAACCATGATGCTCAACAAGGGCTACTAAGACTCCATCCCTACCCTTACCTTTCCCCTGCCGGGCCCTCACCTGCCATCTCCTGTTCCCAGGGATCCCTGTGTCCCAAGTCTTCATGGAGACCCAGCCCCCAGGAGGCCAGGCAGTTGAAGGGGAGACACTGGTCCTTGTCTGCTCCGTGGCGGAAGGCACAGGGTATACCACGTTCTCCTGGCACAGGGAGAACATGAAGGAGAGTCTGGGGAGGAAAACTGAGCGTTCCCAGAGAGCAGAGCTGGAGATCCCTGCCATCAGGGAGAGCCATGCCGGCGGCTACTACTGCACAGCTGACAACAGCTACGGCCCTGTCCACAGTGAGGTGGTGACCATCACTGTGAGAGGTGAGTAGCATTCGGCTCCTGGCAACTCCCAACTGGAGTCAGTTTCCTTCTGTGGCAGTGAGGATGGTACAAGATGATAAAAAAAAAAAAACAACGATTAAGGACATGAAGAGGAAACATGGCAGTGGCAACAGTGATGGAGGGGCTGAAGGAAGGAGAGGAGATGGGAGAGGTGGCAGGTTACATGGAGTGGTCAGAGGCATGGATTGTAGAATGCTTCATCAGAGCTTGTCAAAGCTCTGCAAGAGCCATCTCTGCAGAGGGTGCTTACCTTAGGAAAGAATTCAGGAACTTAGGCTGTGCCTCGTGAGCCCTTGAGTGGGTTGTCACACCACCCTCTGCCTGTGTCAGTTCCAGTGTCCAGTCCTCTCCTCACCTTCAGTGCTCCTGGAGCCTTGGCCTTCATGGGAGATGTAGTAGAGCTTCATTGTGAAGACAGTAGAGCATCTCCCCCCATTCTGTACTGGGTTTTTCATGAAAATGTCACCCTGGGGAAGGCCTCAGCACCATTTGGAGGAGGAGTATCCTTCAACCTGTCTCTGAGTGCATGGCATTCTGGGAACTACTCCTGTGAGGCGGACAATGGCTGGGGGTCCAAGCGAGGTGCGGTGGTAACACTCCATGTCAAAGGTAGGATGTATTCAATGTCTCCTTTCAGAGAACCTGTTGCAGTTAGACCAAGCCACATTCGTGGTTCCTTTCCACTGGATGTGCTCACCCCTTAGGGAATCAGAGTTCTACTAGGGCCATTCATTCTCTTAACAAGTGTATCACTAGCAGTCTACTATTTCTTATTTCTCCTTTACTTTTATAACCATATATACATGACATAAGCAAAATCGAAACAAAACAACCCAGACTGGGTGTGATGGCCTATGCCTTTAGTCCCAGCTACTTGGGATGCTAGATAGGAATTTAAAACCCATATTGGCAACACATCAAGAATCTGCCTCAACAAAATTAATTCAATTAGTTACCAAATAGGCAGATATTAGAGATTAATCAGTCTATAAATGTCCCCATTCTGCCCTCTACAGAAAAAAGAGACTATGATTGGCACTGTCATCCATGAAGTATGGAACATTAAAAAAAAGTAACTTATTTAACCTTAGGCTTTTCCAAATTGCAGCCCTCTTTATTTTTATTTTTTGGGGCTGGTACTGGAACTTGAAGGCAAGACCTTTCCTATCACTTGGCTTATTCACTTAAGTCTGACATTCTAGTTATTGAGCCACTTCTGGCTTTGGGGTGGTTAATTAGAAAGAAGAGTCTTACAGACTTTTCTGCCCAGGCTGGCTTTAAATTGTGATCCTCATATCTCAGCCTCCTGGGTAGCTAGAATTACAAATGCGAGTCACCATCACTCAGTTATTACCTGCATATTTAGAAAAGACCTTATTCTGGTCTTTCCTGTCTTAAAGATTTTCTTCAAGTATAATTTCATTGTTATTACTAAGGTGTTACCATTTCACAGGTCAGGTCATGAGTATATTGTTTCTGGACAACATCACCCTTTCTTTTGCTTTCCCCTAGTTTCCCCTCCCACCCTTGCCTACAAGTTACACAAGTCATTTTCCACAGTGTCTACTGAATAGCATGATTGCATGTGTTCAGCCTTCTTCTGTAACTTTTGTCTTTAAGATTTTTGAGCTCGGGCTGGGAAGGTGGTTCAGTGGTAGAGCACTTGTCTTGCACGCATGAGGCCCTGGTTCAATTCCTCAGCACCACATAAGCAGTAAAGCCAGAAGAGGTGCTGTGGCTCAAGTGGTAGAGTGCTAGCCTTGAGCTGAAGAGCTGAGGGACAGCGCCCAGGCCGAGAGTTCAGGCCCCATGGCTGCAACCCCCCCCCTCAAAAAAAAAAGAATTTTGAGCTCAAGAAAATGGAACCATTAACCTTTGTGCCTCCTCTATCCCTTTATAGTCAGAGTGAAATCTAGAGTTGTTCTCTGGGTCTCCCTGAGAGGGGGGACTGACAGGCTGGCTGCAGCAGATGATAAGGAGGTGGGACAAAGCCAGGGCTCGTACCTCTGCTTTAGCAACCCCCCTGCCCCCACTCCCACACTTCACCACCATCAGACAACCCCTCTCAACACGGAGAAGACTGTGCATTCTGACTGTGCTCTAACCCTCTCTGTTGGCAGAGGCCCCTCCCAAAGTCCGTCTGACAAACGGTGCCCACCGCTGCGAAGGACGGGTGGAGGTGGAACGGGAAGGCCGCTGGGGCACTGTGTGCGATGACGGTTGGGACCTGAAGGATGTGGCCGTAGTGTGCCAAGAGCTGGGCTGTGGAGCAGCCAAGCACACCCCTGCAGCCATGCTGTACCCCCCAGCGGCAGGCACGGCCCTGCCTGTGCTCATTCAGGTGGCCCTGTGTAACGGGACAGAGCAGGCTCTGGCTGCCTGTGAGCAAGTGGACACCTTTGACTGTGGCCATGATGAGGATGCAGGGGCTGTGTGTGAAGATGGGTAATGGCAGAGCCTGGGAGGAGGGTACAGAATGGTGGACAAACCCACCTCTGATGGCTGCCACCATCATTTCTACTTTGTGCAACCACTGTACCTTTCTCCTTCAGAACCAGCCACCCAGCCAGGTACTGGTGACTCACATGTATAAAATCTTAGTTACTCAGAAGACAGTTCATCCAGTGTGGATGGAAAAGTCGATGAGATGCTTATCTTTTATTTCTTTTTTTTCTTTTTTCTTTTGCTGCTCATGGGGCCTTAACTCTGGGCCTGGGCGCTGTCCCTCAGCTCTTCAAGGCTAGCACTCTACCACTTCAGCCATAGCACCACTTCTGGCTTTTTCTGCGTATGTGGTGCTGAGGAATTGAACAAGGACCTCTGCATGCAAGGCAAGTACTCTACCACTGAGCCACCTTCCCAGCCCCAGAGATGCTTATCTTTAATTAACCACCAAGAAGCTGGAATTGGATCTGTGTCTCAAGTGGTAGAGTGCTAGCCTTGACAAGCAAAACAAAACAAAACAAAAACCCTAAAAGACAGTGCCAAGGCCTTGAGTTCAAGCCCCAAGACCAACACCAGAAAAAAAAAAACCATTCCTCCATTCACATTCCTCAGTAGCATGAGGTCAGGACAGCTCTATCAGTTCACTTTAGGTTGGTCCTGAGTCATAGAAGACTCTCCTGTGTGCTCATATTATTAGTCCTTATCTGCCATCTCAAAAGACAAAGTATTAGTATTCCTTTGGCTGTGCGTTAGGGCATAGTGCCAAGAAAATAATTATGAAGCCATAGAATTACATAGTTTGAGTGGTTTTAATCAAGGTGACACTTCTTACATAATTCTGTAATCACCTCAGCTCTTCTGAGATCTCTCCCAAACGATTGTATTCATCAGATTGAAGCACTGGCTTTTAATGGGAAAGGATGGGGCTTTGGAGGGGATGTTGGAAAGGCACTGGGTTGGCCAAGAAAGTCAGGCCACACACCATATAAGCTGAAGTTCCCTAATGGTGAGAGGAAAATGAAGACATGTTTAGACTCCTGCAGCTCCAAAAAGTCTCCACAGAGCCTGTGACTAGAATGGAACCCAGAGAGACTCTTTTCTCCAGCCCCAGCCCCATGGGGCTTCTAGATGCCATATGCCAGGGTACAGGGTAGTTTTTCAGAGGTCCTTAATCAGAAGAAAGTCTTCAGAACCACAGGTCCATGTGCATTCTGCTGTAAAGGCTGCAGAAATAGAGTCAGGACTAAGGAATAAATGAAGAAATAAACAGGTATGTTAGGCCCTACATTTAATAGACATGTGGACATACAAAACAAATTCTGCAAAAGAAAATGCAAGTGTTTAAACTTATTTTTAAGTTACCAGAAAGAGACTTGCTTTCAATTTTTTCCTCCTTAAAATGCCTGCATGTTTAAAATTTTATTAACATAAATTAATTAATGAAGGGGTTTCATTATGATATTTACAACATGCATATAATGTGCTTTGATCAAATTCTCCCTGTCTATATTGCTTTTTCTTAACCACTCTCCTTCCTTCCATTATAGGCATAAAACATATACAAAAAAGCAGTACACAATAAAGAAATAAATCATCCAAAATTCTCATACACAAAAGTAGCTGCTGTTCTGGTACTTTCAAGGTTTAATAAATAATAAATGTACAAATGAATACATATTTGAATTTATTATTCTATAGGCTGTACATTATAGTGCTTATTAAATTTAACTATACAGTGTTAAAGGAAATCCACAGAGAAAACACACATACACATATGTGTGTGCTATCTTGAAATTTGAGTAAAAATGTTTACACTAAAAATTTTTTAATCCTAAAATTGACCTTTCAAGGAAGATTCTAGCTGGGTGCTTGTGTCTCACACTTGTAATCCTAGCTACTCAAGAATCTAAGACATCCTGGGCAGAAAAGTCTATGAGACTCTTATCTCCAATTAAACGGCAAAATGCCAGAAGTAGAGGTATGGCTCAAGTAGTAGAGCACTAGCCTTGAGTGAAAAATAGCTTGGGGCTCAGTACCAGCACAAGAGCCAGTGAGCAAGCAAGCAAGGAAGAAAAGGAAGAAAGGAAAAAAAGAAGGAAGGAAGGAAAGAAAGAAAGAGAGAAAGAAAGAAAGAAAGAAAGAAAGAAAGAAAGAAAGAAAGAAAGAAAGAAAGAAAGAAAGAAAGAAAGAAAGAAAGAGGAAAGAGTTCTGATTCAATGCCAGGCGCCAGGGCTCATGCCTGTAATCCTAGCTACTCAGGAGGCTGAGATCTGAGGATCACAGTTCAAAGCCAGCCTGGGCAGGAAAGTCCATGAGACTATTATCTCCAATAAACCACTCAGAAAACAAGAAGTGGCACTGTGGCTCAATTGGTCGAGTGCTAGCCTTGAGCTGAAGAGCTGAGGGACAGCATCCAGGCCCAGAGTTCAAGCCCCACAACTGACCAAAAAAAAAAAGAAAAGAAAAGAAAAAGAAAGAAGGAAGGAAAGAAAGACAGTCCTGATTCAAAAAGGCTCTTTGATATAATTGCCTTTATTGGTTTGGAGAAGGCACACATTTATGGCTTCTTTCTTTTAAGTGTGCCTTCTCCAAACCCTGTGAGCCCCTGAGTATCAGTATTTAGTGTTCAGACCTGTCTAAATCTCCAGAATATTTGAAGATGGCTTCTTTTAGAAATTTGTAATTTACTTTTGAATCTAGGTGAATATGAGAACAGTAGATTTTTTCAGATTAGATATCTATATTAGTAATAATTTCTTGAACATATGTGCTAGATTTCACATAGTTACTATACTGTTAATAAAAAAAAAGCTTTACTATTCATATTCTAATTGGGTTATATTCAAGTTTTGGTGCTATCAAAAGTTAATCTTAGGAGAAACTGATGCATAAACATATGTAAGTATATACTGATAGTACTGTGTTTGAATTCATAGTTTACAGGCTTACTATGGGGTGCTCTGCTGCTTCAGCCACACCTCCAGCCTAAGAAATTGATATTTTTACACATGTAATCTTCCAATCCCAAAACAAGATACATTGTTTCTTTGTATTTGTTTAGATGTTAGCCGAGAAATTTTTAATTCATCTCTCATAAATTGTTTTTTATTAATTTTATTAAAATAATTATGTAGAATCTTATCCCATTATGTTTCTCATACTTTTAGTATATAAAATACATACTCTGTTACCAGTTAATGTTTGTTCCCAAGTATTTTACAGAGTTCTCTTATTATTTCTAATATTTTTAGTTAATTTTTTAGGCTTTCTTGATAATCATATCTGCCAATGTCTTTCATTCTACTAATATATAAAACACAGATTTCCTTTTTTTCCTATGTATCTTAGCTAGCCTTTCTAGAATAATGGTAAATCATTGTGATGACAATAGGTATCATTGCTTTAGTCACAGATTTGACAGGTATGCTTTGTTAATTTCACCAAGAAGCGTGATGCTGGCTTTTAAGCCATATATTTATAATGTCAAGACTACTTACTGTATACATTAATAAGAATTTTATTTATCTAATCAATAGTAGATGTTGAATTTTCAAAACTGCCAGTGGTACTTTGTTTCCTTTTAACTTAATATGATGAATTCCATTAGCAGATCTTCTAATAGTGAATAATTCTTGCAATGCTACCTGGTTGTGATGTATATTAATATCCTGCTGAATTGTATTTGATAAAATCTTTAAGACTTTTGCATAGATGTTCATAATGAGGATTTTTCTGTAGCTTTTTTTCTCTTTCTTTGAAAAGCTTTGATGTCAATGTTATATTGCCTTCTTATTATGTTAGTAGGTTTATTTCTCTACAATCAAAATGTTTAAATACTACTAAATATATCTTTTCCTTGAAAATTGAAAGTAAAGTTAATGCAGATCCATCTGACTTGATATGTTTGGAAGTATTTTTTTCATGACTATTGTTCTACTTATTAAACTATCCCTTCTTGCATAAAATTTGATCATTTCTGTTTTCCTAGAAAACCATCCATTCAATGTAGCTTCCAAATGCTATCTTTTCTTATTGTCTCTTCTTTCTTGATTAGCCTATTCAGTGGTATATCTGTTTATCTTTCATGGAAAAGCTTTCAAGATTATTCATTTATTCCATTGTGGGCTTTTTGTTTGTTTTATTCATTAGTGTCTGCTTTTATCTTAATTGGTTTTGTTGATATTTTCCTTAGTTCTTTAGATCAAGGCTTGTTCATTTATTTCCATTCTTTCTTACTGGTACTCTTTCTAAGTGTTAATGAGTTTCCCCAAGAACGATTTTACTCATCTCTCTCAGGTTTTTATGGTGTTTTTATTATTTTTACTTTTGAGTTTCTAATACCAGTCTGCTTTCTTTGACCTCAAGGTTGTTTTAAACTGCCTGTTGACAAGACTTTTCCTTGATTTTGTGATTTTTTTTTAATGATTGCATTTGTAATTTGTAAAGGGTTTTTTGTTATGACTCACATACAGTCAATTTTTGTAGATGGTCCATGAGGACTTAAAAAGAAGGGAAATCCTTGTTGCTGGGATGCAGAATTATATGTTGGGAGCTCTTTATTTATCATACTATTCAAATTGCATACTTCTTATTTTTATCCACTTGACCTGCCCAGGCCTATGGGTGTCTTTTGTTGCTGTCATTGTGTTTAAATTTATTTCTCCTTTTGTGTCCTGTAGTCCACGTGTCAGACACTTTGATGGAATATTATTTAACTCCAAAGACTTATGGGGCTTAGAGACATGTATTTTGACCTTCTGTTTGGGTTCAGTGCTGTTTGCCATGATATATCTTGGTGCATTCTTTTGCTTTTCACATTCCAGAGCCACTTTCTTTGAGATATGTTTCTTACATGTAATGCGTAGTTGAATTTGAGTTGTCTATTGAACATAAAATTCTTTTTATGCTGGTGTGTGTTCTTTGTATTTCATGTTATCTTTCCTCTTCTTCTGTCTTTGTCTTTTGTTTGCTAGTTCTGTTTTTGTTTCCCATCCTTTTTATTTTGTAACCACAAGAGCAGACTTAATTCTTTGGCTCATGATTTACTTCCATAATCATTGGCTCATACCAGTGTCCTCTCTGGTTTCCTTTATTTCCTTGTATTTCTACTTGCTGTTCTCTTCTCCTACCATCTGAATCATTTTAATATACTCTATTCATATGTATCATTTTTGTGAGACCGAAATGTTTTTATATGCTGGTGTCGGAGCTTGAACTCAAGGCCTAAGCACTGTCCCTTAG